GCCAGCTTGGGTTTGCCACCGCAGTCCTCGATCAAGGGACCGCTAAAGCGTCCCGTCTCAGCCGTGTCCTGGGGGTTCCTTCGCAGCCGCCTGCCCAGGGCAGGAGGGAAGGCAGGGACTGTTCATTCAAAATGCGTTGCCTTTCCCTCCAGCCCCTCCTCCCGCTCGCCTTGTCCTTGAGTACTCCTTATTCCCAGCTGCTATCTGGCAGCGGGGTCCTATCATCAGGTGCCGTCCTTCGGGCCGGCTATAAAGGCGCTCGGGGATGCAGCGTGCTCCCAGAGGCAGCCCCGCTCCTGCGTCATGCTGCGGGCCACCGTCAAGCTGTGCTGCGGCATCGCCCACGACCACCTCCGCCGCCTGCCCGGTAAGCACCGCTCGCCGCCTCTGCGACCTCCGGAAAAACAGGCAGAAATGCGGATCCTAAAGGAGATGCTAAGCCCGCATCTGATGGGCGTCTCCTTGGGAAGCGCTCCCTTGGAAATGTCACATCTATGCATCTATTTTCCTCCCGCGTCGTATCACGCGTAGGGTAGTCTCGGTCTCAGCTGCAAATGAACTTCCAGCAGAGATTCGGGGCACCGCGGCATCTTCCTCCCACGCTCCGTGCTCACCAGAGCCCACCCGTCTCTCCCCTAGGCTTGAAGATAACGGCCGGTGCAGCAATACAAAAGGACGTGAGAGGGCGGGTGGTAAGAGGATCCCGTCGCCTGCCTTCCAAAATTCCCCGTTATATTCAGAGGCTGATGGGGAAGGAGACAGGTAAGCTCAGCCCGGGCGCCTGGGTACCACATTTTCTAGCCCCGCTCACAACCCCCTTGCAACCAGGGATTGGGGGGGGGGGATGCACACACGTATTAAAATGCACCCCTCCCCAGGAGATTTGACCCTTATTTGGGGGGACGGAGTTAATTATCTTCTCGCCACTGGGCTGGTCTCCAACTCTCCGGCAGCTTAAAAACGTTCCCCGTACTGATGGTGCATTGGGTTAGCGGGGAGACGCGGAGATTCTGGGAAGGTGAATTGCATTAGCTCACCGTACGGGCAGCCAAAGCTTTCAGCAGAGGTTACAGGCGCTTAGCAGTCTTTTGTTGCATGCCTGCTGCGTCTCTACTTTCCACCGCTTACCTAAAGACTCAAAAATTGGCAAATTCATCTGTTCGTTCGTTTGAAGCGTGGCTCGCTCCAAAGGCTGCCTGTGCAATGTTAATAACACCCAAGCGACGCGCAATTTGTCCCGCAGCGTTCCCGGGCATTGATTTGGAAAGCAATTTGAAAAAGCTTTCCAAGCAGGCGGCGCAGAGGCAGTGAACCAGGGATGCTCCTGGCAGCGAGGTTTTCTGCACCAGGCCACCCCCCCCAACCCATCAGGGCACCAGTTGCGTGGTCAGAGCCCAGCCTCGGGGTCAGCAAACCCCTCTGCTCCAGCTCCCGCAGCCACGTGCGCGGGCAAAACCGGGGTGGGGTTTTTTGGGGTTTTTTGTGGGTTTGGTTTTTTTTTTTTCACATCGCTCTGCTTTGCTCCTGCAGCCGCCTGCCCCGAGCTTGCTGGAGACGTCAACCCCAGCCGGTTCTCCAGCGTTGACCTCTCCTACATCACCCAAGGAGAAACAGCCCTGCAGCGAGCGCTGAGCATCCTGCAGCAACCCACCAGCTGGCAGGCGGAAACAACGCTGGTAAAACCCGGCCGCGTTTTGCCTTTGCTGCTTTATGTCAGGAAAAGCTCTCGGGAAGGGAAATGAGTCTGGGGAGGGGAGATTTGCTTCTCTTATTCCTCCCGCTTGAAGGGGAACTGCGGGCGCAGGAAGACGCGCCGCGGAAAAGCAGGCACGGCAAAGAGGGTTTCCAAGCAAGCCTTCGTTAGGCGCGTTTGCAAGCAAATCTGCAAAGTAAATAGACAGCGGGAAAAAAGGTTAGAAGGGGAAACTCAGATAATTGTGTGCCCGGGGAAAGCCAGGAGCATTTCTGCAGAAAAAAAACCCCAGCAGATTGCGACTTTGTTGTTATTTACAGTGTTTGTTCATTAAGCTGTTTGCTGAACAGTTTAATTTACCTAGAAAGGAGCTTAAAATTAAAAAAAAAAAAAAAGCAATCGCAGTGACATGATTTAGATATAGTAGCTTTCGACTGTAAACCAAACGGTGACTAAAGAGAGGACTGGATGCATTTGGGGTTGACGCAGCCTCTCTGCTCTCCCAGGACGCCGGGGGCACCGTGTCCAGCGCCGCCCTCCCCGGGCTGGGCAAGGTGTTTCGGGTCGAGGTGGTCCTGGCCGTGCCGGTGGCACGGCTGCACCGGGAGCTGTTCGAAAGGATCGAGCAAATGCCCCAGTGGAACCCGACCCTCAGCCGGGTGAAGGTAAGGCGGGGATGGATGCCACCGCCGGCAGACGGTCCGAGGCTTTGCGTCGCCGGGGTTGCTAGCATCCGAAAAAAATCGTATTTATCGAGGCTTTTGCGATCGCCGAAGGATTAAAGCTAATTCTGTGCTGCTCGCAAGAGCGGGATATCACACCGGGGAGACAAAGATGCGCTTTACCGGCACGGCATTGAGCAGCGCGGCGTTTCCAGGCTCTTTTCCGCACGGTGCCTGTTCACGGAGGGTTTTCGGCACTGGGGGACTCTGGCATTGCTCAGACTTTAATGTCAGGCGAGAAAACGTTCAGGGGAATCGGACAGCTCAAAAAAAAAAAAAAAGAGGCAAAACCAAATATATCACACTGCGGGGGCACCCCCGGGAAGCTTATGGGTTGTCTTGACTTCTTTTGAGTATTTGCCTTATTTCTCAGCTCCCAAATCACAGCGTATCCCTAAGAAAGGGAAAAAAAAAAAAAAAAAACCCTCCGTAGCTCCCCTGGGCTGGCTCCGACGCTCCCCAGCCCCTCCTTACTTCTTGTTGCCGCTTCCCTGCCCCTTCAGAAAAAGAAATAGCGTAGGCTCCCATCCCCGATTAAAAAAAAAAAAACCTGCAAAAATCACCCGCTTTCCCCCTTTAATAGCCTGCAGGGCATTGGGATTTAATTATCCCCAGGTGCCAGCCCCGAGCCCTCACCTTGCTGCTGCCTCTGCTCACGCTGCTGTCCCCGAGGTGGCTTAGTGTCCCCCGGGCAGGGGTGGCAGGGATGTCCCCGGAGGGGCACCCACGGGGACCCTAACCCCCGGGGTGCTCCTTGCTCTGCTAGGTGCTGCAGCGCGTCGGGACGGACACGCTGGTGACGCATGAAGTCACGGCTCCCAGCCCGGGCAACCTGGTGGG